ACGATCGGTCCTTCTGTCCGTGTTTTTTTTTTTTTTTTTTTTTGATTAATATTTAAATGGATAAATAAAAATTAATTAACCCTGACTATAACTTTTGATTGATTTCAGCTATGGATGTCATATTTCACAGGTGTAAAAAATATTTAAGGACCTTTTCTTGGGTTTAAATATTTTATTTGACATTTTGACCCTCATTTTGGAACTTGCTACTTTTGGAAAATTTTCCTTAATTTGAATCTTGGTCATATGGGCTATGTTTTTAATATTTCACTGGTGTATTCCATGTGTAAAAACGTTTCCTTGGGTACAAGTATTTTTTGATTTTTTAACGTTGATCATTAAGTTAGATTCACTTTTGAAGACATTTTCTAAAATCTAATCTTTACCAAAACTAATAATTGGCTAAATCAAGTGATATACTCTTCAAATTTATTTATTTGAAAAATTCTTTTGAGTACCAGCAGTAATTACCTTTGACCTTGAACTTGTATTTTAACCTATTTTTCAAAACCTTTAGCCTTGGCCGTAGCTCCTGGATTGTTAGTGCTAGAGGACTACAATTATACCGGTTTATTTCTCGTGGTAGGAGCTTCTCTGGAATACCAAAATTTTTATCCTTTTACCTTGGATCTCAGAATTTCACCTTATTTTGAAAAACATTGACAAAAACTTTTGAATAGTTGATTCTTTGACTTTTCTCAAGTTTATTTGGAGCCAGAAGAGCGTTCTGTTATACGATGTTTCTTTCTTTTTACATTAAAATAAATATATTCTACCATTAAAAAAAATATTTTCATTAAGCACAGTGAAAAAAAAATTAAATATACTAAAAGTGTCTTTTCAAGTTAATTACAATTAACTCGACACCTCTGAAGAGATCTAGATTCATCCTCCTGATTTAAAATAAACCATTCAAAGCTTCTCGTTATCTTCGCAAGGAGACATAACTCGGATCGCTTCCGGCCATACATTTTATTTTTTTTAGCGCAAAGTGCTTTTAATTATTTTTTTTTACTCGTAATCCTAAAATCAGTGCCAGATATTATTTTGTTCGGTCGGTCCGTCTGTCTGTTTTTTTTTTTTTTTTTTTTGTTTATCTGTAAGTGGGTTTAATATATTAGCCTTGACTATAACATGTGATTGGTTTCATTTATGGATTTCATATTTCACAGGTGTATATAATATGAAGGGACCTTTCCATGGCTTTAAATATTTATTTCTTTTTGATATTTTGACCTTCATTTTGGGATTTGAGCCTAGGTCATATGAGCTCTGGCTGTCATATTTCACCGGTGTTTTCTATGTGTAAGAACTTTTTCTTTAGTATTTTTTAATTTTTTTCTTTGAGCTTGAAGTTTGACTAACTTGTAAAGAAATTTTTAAAATTTTAATCTTAGCCATGGCTATTGAACGATTAAGTGAAGGAATATCATACTCCCATTGCTCATTTTCTTGACAAGCCATTTTATTGAGTACCAGCCGCAATGACCTTTGACCTTAAACTGATGGATTTGACCTACCTTTCAAAAAAGGTAACTTTGGCCTTATAATATCTCCTGGATATTAAGTGCTACTGGTTTACTATTTTATAATTACCAGTTTGTTGTTAGAGCTTCTCTGAGATGCCAATATTTTTTTATCCTTTTAATTTGACCTAAGACTTTGATCTTCCTTTGAAAAACGTTGGTCAGAACTTTTAAATGGCTGATTCAGTGACTTTTTTTTTTGCATGTGTAATCTTTGTGAAACTATTTTGGGCATCATTAATATCATTAATATTGACTCACTGAGCTTGTCCAGTTTGACCTATTTTTGAAAATCTTCAGTCATAATTATTGAACTGTTACTGCTTATTTGGTGTTTTGAAAGTGGACTCATTGTAAAGAATTTTTCTTTTGGTACCAAAAATAATTTTTCTTGACCGAGAACATTCACCATAAGCTGCATTATGAGAGCATTACCTTTCATAAACAGATCTTGAATTTTTATCATAAGCTCCTAAAACTTTTCATATTTGTTAAACTACATATTCAATCTTGTAGTCTATAATTGTTTTGGATATTTATAAATCATAGTCTACACATCGCATAAAATAAAATGAATTCTTTGCACACACATCGATGTTTAGTTGTACATGTATCATTACTTAAACATTGAATCCTTTTTTAAAGATGTAGTTTTATAATTGCAAAAACAGTTGGAGATAAAGAATAACATCTTTCCAAAAAAAATGAGTCAGTGCTTTTTTTTTTTTACTTTTCTAACTCTTTGCAAATTTGATTCCTTTTTAAAGTACTTGAATGATGTTTAACCTAAATTACAAAAATTTAAATGATTTCAAATTTGATTTTCGCTTATGAATTAGTCTTGCACGGTATTTAACGTTTGTGACTTCAGAATAAAACGCATATTACACATTGTAATCTTTTGACTCCCGATCCGTGTTATGGTGTTTTGAAATTAAAAAAAAATAAACAATAAAAATTACAGTATAGATATACGTCTACTATAACGTATCTGGTGCATTCAAGAACAGGAAAAATCTTTTTTTATTTCTTTTTCAAATGATAATCTGTAGCTATAAAAGATATGGCTCTTCAGAATTTTTTTTAATTTAAGCTCATAACCTAGTATCATTGAGAATCTAGTTTCATTGTGTTACTTGCTACACCTAAAATTCAAGCTATCTTAGCCCCGTGGAGATCCGGGTTAGAATAGGTCCTCAGTACCCCCTTGCTTGTCGTAAAAGGCGACTAAATGGGGCGGTCCCTCGGATGAGATAGTTAACCGAAGCCCCGTGTCACGGCAGGTGTGGCAAGATAAAGATCCCTCCCTGCGCAAAAGCCGTAAGTACCGAGCATAGGCCTAAATTTGCAGCCCTTCACCGGCAACGGTGACGTCTCCATATCAGTGAAATATTCTGGAGAGGGACGTTAAACAGTATACAATCAATCAATCAAGCTATCTTATGACATTAATGGTATAATTAGATTTCTGGAAAGAAATATTCACTACGTCTCATTTCAATTATTTAGCTTATTTTCTCCATGATATTAAAAAAAAGTATAATTTAAGATGCACTGCACTATAAAATATGACCATCAGATATACCTATACTTTTTTAATAAACATCTTAACTTCTTTATATGTCTTATGTGACATGCCCCGAAAAGAAAGATTACAAATGTATGTGTCGGAATAAACAAGGTGTAGTGTTGCAGCGTGCATAGATTATTGACATAGTTAAAAATGAGAAATGGAATTGAATGGCGGACACCACAGTAAAACGTATTAAAACGTATATTTATTTATATGTGTCGGATTAAATATGTTTCAATATAACGGGTTTAAAAATGAAGCAATTTTCATTCTAATTTTCCGCCCAGGCATCTTCAGTTATCAGTGTTTGTAAATAACAAATATTTCTAATTTCAAATTTATTTCAACACATATAAAGTACATCTTTTACTGAATACACTTAGTATTGCTTTACAGAACGGTTTAACTCTCCATCCATTACCGATAACATATCTGTTGACATGTTTGTTACTTGACGTTAAATATTTTTAAAAAAAATCTCAGCGATATAAATTAATTGAAAATTGTCTCTCGGGGGTTTGCATAATCCATGGATGATCTTTCATCTGGTAAAAAAAATAAATCAATACTTCACATATACATGTATAACAGCAAAATTTTTTATATTTAAAAAACAATTATAACTGAAATTTTCACAGTAATAAAAAATAAAAAGAAAAAAAATGTTATTAAGACTTAAAGAGATTTACCTAGTTCCGTCTGATCATCATGGTGGTCCCCCTCACGGATGATCCATTCCGTAATCTAGGAGCCCATGGCTTGTGCCAGTACTCTGGGGACCAGGGACCGTTAAGGAAGGCGTCATGACATGCGTGATACCACCAACCTCCTCCCAAGAAAGCCGCACAGTGACGGTCAGGAAATCTGTCGTTATCCCTGTCCGGGGTGGAGAAGGACATCCCAGACAGATCGTAGTGATCAGGAGAACCAGTTATATAATAGTGTTGCATTATGCATGTACTATGCCTAAATAGTAGGCAGGGTTTGACACATGGTGCACGAGCCGGAGGCAAGTGCACTATGTGTCAAACCCTGCCTACTATTTAGGCATAGTACATGCATAATGCAACACTATTGTTATTATTATGCTGACTGTTGTAATTATTAATGCGACAATCCATTTGACTTTTTCCTGAAAATTAATTATCGGTGCTAACACAGCGCACTTGCAAGAACTCATTCAAAATCTTCATGCTAAAATTGGTTGCATGCTTAGTTATTTTGGTAACTAGTATTTTCTCCAAATAAGTCAGGATTTTCTGTCCCAAAGCAACTCATCTTTATTTTCTGTTTTGTTAGTAATTGTTGTTTGTTTGCAGACGTCGATTCTCATTGATAATTTTCTTTTACATCCTTCAATCAAGCGTCATATAAAAAAGCGTTTTAATGACCCTATGAAATCAGTTCATCTAACGATCTGTATGTAATTAGTTTGAAACTTTGTTGTACACATTAATCTAAGGTTCCTTAGAATAATATTACTGTTTTCAAATAATATTTGTCTATTTTCTCCTTCTTGTGTCAATTGTATAAATTAAGTTTATATATTTAATAAAATTCACCCAATCAGTGATCGTCTCTGTGGCGTAATCGATAAGGCATCGGACTGACAATCTGATGGTCGTGAGTTCGATCCCCGGCGTGTGCATGGAAGAATTTTATTCAGTAAATAAAGCCGTGCACTATTTCGGCATAGTATGCTTACGCTATATAAATGCTTAGACCACTATGCGAGAATAGTAGGGTATGGGTTATATAGAGACAAACTGACAGGAAGCATAATAATGTGTAACATACGGTCTCCTGTGAAATTAAACAAATGAAATAACATAGATAATGGATGTATATATTTTATATCTAATTGTCAATAATAATAATGAGGTATTTCTAAGATAGATGACTTAAGGTGCTGGAAAGAGTGACACTATTTTTTTTAGTTCAGTCCTAGAATCCCCGGTGTCTATCATACTGGTACCTGTAGCATTAGAGAAAATATATAACTGTCAGATACCGTGCCTTTAAAATGTATAAAATGCAATACGAAGTAAATTATTTAAAAAGTATGACGAGATAAGATATAAGATATCGTGTAACTGTAAATGTTTTAGAATATTAGATTTTCATTTAATAAAGCGTAGGTATTGTAAATAAGAAACGCGTTGCGTTTTGAATTTGGCTTTTTAAACTTTTCTCTTTTATCTGAATATGTATCCGATAAAAAAAAATTGGCATTAAATTTTCGAAATTTTTTGACATTTAAGGTTAATGACGTTCTATAAACTCTCTATTCCATAGTAATTAAAATGCGAATTATTGAAAATCAGACTAGATTTTTTATTTAATAAAGAAAAGATATAGAAAATGTAATCAACGTTGAAGTGATTTAAATTTGGCTCTTTTTAATTTGATTACGTTATAATTGCCTAGAAAACAAATGTTTTTGAACGTCATTTTTTTGTGAAGATGTCGACATTTTAAATCAATTACTCTCTGTCTTGAATGATATTCTTAGATTTTAAAAATATTTAGTTAAATCATAAAGGTATATAGAATATATAAAAAAAACATCTTTAAAAAGAGAAATGTATTTTTCGATAAAATACGTTAATGAAACCCAATATTAAGAACTTAACATGAATACACTTACCCAAGGTTCCCATGGCAGGTCCTGCAAGATAGAATTGATATTTTCCAGCTTCGTCGGAGACAGAGAATACATCATACATTTCATACAGCGTTGTACCATTCTGGAGAGTGATGGACACATACAGGGATGAGGTGTTTTCTTTCGTTAATTGATGGAACATGTCATTTCCTGTATTAAGATATATTAAAAATTAGCTGAAAAATCATTGCAACTCTAAATTTAAATTATTTTCCTTAGCTGTAAAAGTGCTAAATGCTAAATTATGTCTACTTGAAATATGCCGCTAAATTATTTTCTTCTTTTCTATTCTTTTTTTCTAATTTTTTAATATATTAATTAAACATGACATATGATTATTGTGAATACAGATCTTTATTACCCTTTAATTTTTTACCTGCCACAAGATTTTTTTTTCAAACTTTGAAGGAAAGCGATTTACACTTACCAACCCAGACATCCTGTTCTGCGGCACCAAAACCATTTTTATATTCCGTCCAGGTCCTGTTAAAGTCCATGGATCCACTAATTCGTTTTTGGATTTCCTTTTAGTTTACACTTATAGCAAATCATTGTTTTAAAAAATTGAGTGATCATATATGTTAGGATATAAACTTAAAATATTCATGTTTCTTCAACCTATATTCTGTTGAAAAAAATAACATTTAATGTGATTATGAATTGTACAAAATCCACTCATATTGAAATAAACAACAAACCGTCCATCCAGCGCCCATTGTCGTCATGTCACAGTAAACAAGGACATGGCTGATAATGGTCCCATAGGGGTAAATAGCATACACCCCCGATTTTTTGTGTCCATGTAGATGAAGATCCTTACAGTCTTTGGGAATAACCATAGCTGGAAAAAACATCTCACAGGAATCATTTAAAAAAAACATTTCAGAACAGTTATTGCAAGATAGCAATTTTAAGTTTCTAGTTTGAAATACATCCTATTTGATATACCTTTTTGTTAATAAGAAACTGCGATTGTCTTATGATTGAGAATAATACAGCTTTATCCATAAAATTAATTTCATTATTGCATTATCAAGCTGTTTATTTGATGATAGAATTTTTTTCTTTCTTTGGTGTTTCCTTTACAGAAGAGGTTGATTTCTTTTTATCAATGTTAAGATGAACGAAAAATAGGAAAGACTATATTAGAATAAAAAAAATTCCGTCAATTTCCACTTCATCATTCCTTCGAAATAAAAGTAGATAAGAAATTGTATGTTAACAGCAGGACTTTAACTTGGTATTAATTGTTTTGATTCAATTAATTGTGCGACATAAACAGTATCGTTTCTGAAATAAATGTGAATAATATTCTTAACGTCTTCTTCTTTGCAATGGTAAAACCCGTGCTCCGTGATCGGGAGGGTGTAATGAGTTCAAATATCGGACACAACGGACCTAAATTAATCAATAAAAAGGTAAGAACCTTTCCTTTGCAATGAATTCAGCACATTTATATAAGATATTGCGTGTCCTCAGACGAGACTTTTTAAACCAAGGCCAGTGTCCGAAGAGAAAGAGATATCTAAAATCAGTATTTATGCTGTTGTAATTAACATATCAATGAATACACAAAAATGAGAGAGAGTAAAAATGAAAAGTATTTTAGAGATTGGAAAGGTTAAAAGTATTTTTTTTAGATAGAAACAAAGGTTAATTTACCACTCTTGATATTAGTAACATCATCCTCGAGTCTCTTTATCATCTGCCTGAGGGAATCTACAGATTTTTGGATCCCATCCTGCTGGATCACAAGTTCTCGAATCGGCATCATTGTCTCTTCATTAGTTGCACATCGATCGTTTTCTTTTGAGTAAATATGCTGGGAACTCGTGCACAAGAAGCTGCAAGCAAGGAAGGCTGCCCACACCGTTGTCATGTTGAACTTTCTTGTTGCTGTTTTAAGGAATGCGTTTCTGAATTAAATCGTTTTTGTGAATATATTCACAGCTTTATACATTGGCCTAAACACGGAAGATAAAAAGTTTACCAATAAAAAACTTTACCGGTCACTTATAATTATTGACGAAAAATTTTGACATTTATGGAATAATGGTTTAATTCAGATAAGTTTATCAGGCATGATCCAGGGGCGTAATATTTAAGAATAGGCGGGCCTCTTCCTTCATTTATTCTAGCTATGAGATTTTTAATAATTATTAGCTTTCCACAAGTTTACAAAATACATCATATACAATACACTTGATATCTCTTGTTCTTGTTACAACACAATATAATTTTAAATGGTCACTTAAAACAACAAGCCTCGTGAAAATACCTTTTAAAGAAAACATTCTTACTTAATTGTTTTCATTATTCATAAATGTTCTTATATCTCCTCACTGTCTTCGTGTACAGTTGAAGAGAGTATTTTGCCACTTCAAAAAGTTAATTTTCAATGAGAATTAATTTAAGCGATTTAATACTAACTAAAGAAGCTATGATAGGATACATTAAATGCAGTTATTTTTTTTTTGCAATAGGAAAAGGAAAAGCACTTTCATGTGAAACGAACAAAGTACTCTTAATTTTAAAGAAAATGAACTTGTCTATTAAATACCTTGAAAAAATAACTACAAAAGACAGGTGAAAAGTTAATAATTTAAAAATGCTTATTAATTTATGGCATGAAAAAAAAATTCTGTGTAATATATTACATTGTAGAGGATAGCTCGACTAAAAAGGGAAAACAGAAACTCAAAACATTACTTAAAAATCTGAGTGTAATAACAGACTCTTCTTTTAAACACTGTTTTGGAGATGTTGGGGCTGTGGGGATTGAAACACCCCCTTCACACATGTAAAAATTACATGCTATAATTTTCCAGATAAGGGTTTTGAGTTTGAATATAATTCGTTTTTTCCATATCTTGCATAGTATTTCTGTATAAATGATTTGACATAAAAATCTTTGATTATAATAATTGTTCCATTTTCTTTTAACATCCAAACTTCCTCATGTACAATATTACAATGTCATTAGCCTCTAAATATTCTTTAACAGTAAAAACAAAACACAAGTTTATTACTTGACTTTCTTTAGCAAATTGAAAGGGATGGGGAGCAACCTCCTTGACCTCCTTAGGGATCTGCCACTGGCATACATATAGATATGAAAAATCGTGTATTTATTAATTGATGTACATGAAAATACACTTAACTTTACTTCCGTTTTAGTTTATAATTGTTTTCGAACAGTCCGTTTATCACCCAAAACTTTACTGTTGGAGGAGCACAATTCGACAGCGAAAAGAAAAAAATCATTTTTTAAGAGCTCACATGGGTATATATCATTTTAGTTAGTGTTTTAGATAAATTTGGCGGAATACAGCGAGCTTATCAGGATAGAGAATTAATATGAATATCTTACAAACCATATTCGGATGGAAATCCCTTCCTTATGAATACAATGTCCAATTTTGTTTTTTGTATCAAAGTAAAGCTGGGATCACGATCGACCGCGTGTTTCTTTGTTTGTATAAATTTTCCAAGTAGAATTGAATTAGATTTCGGAAAAAAAAAACAGGCGAAAATAGAACACTTATATAAGAATGAATTATGTCATTTATTTTTTGTGAAGAAAATGTATGTACGAAACGGGGTGTCTTTCATCCATTATTTACTGAGGTAATAATACATGTGCTACTAAGAGCAGTCATAATCTCCTCATTGTTTACCATACGATATAATTAAAGACTTCAGAAAAAACAAGACAGGATACAGAAGGAATATAAAGATTATGCAATACATGCAGATCAAAAACACATGAATGCCCCCTTCAGTAAACACTTATTTCAATATATTTTGTCAACGTACGTTCCGCGTTTGAAAAAAAAATCCGTTAACTACGACTTTTCCTCGAATTAGGGTAAAGAAATAATTGTCTTTATTTGGGTTTCTGATTTCTTTTTTTTTTGGGGGGGGGGGGGGGGGGGTTGATAGTCAAAAAATTTCTGTTCCCCTTTTACTGGATTTTGTTCTAAAAAACTTTTTGACAAAAAAATCCCTATCCTGTGCTTCTCACACAAAGATGAATAGCACACGTATGTAAAAGAAATAAGTATCATTCTTCAAAACATCTAATAAATATTTGTCAAAACAAAATTTGAATAATAAACATGTAAAAAACCTGGGAGATCAGAAATAATTTTTAGATTTACTGAATTCATTTTCAGACATACAAAATTTCTGAGTATAAAGTATATTGATAATTTTAAGGGTTTGCCTGAAAAAAGAGAAGAAGGCATTGACTCAAACAAATTTCTTACAATTTTAAGTTTTATTAAAGAGTTTCTTTTCAAAAAAAAAAATCCGTTGAGGATATGTTGGGGCTGTACATGAATGGTTTTATGAAATAATGATAATTATTTTTTTATATGCTAAGTTTTCTTTCAAATAGCTACACAAATGTAAAATTTATAATAAAAAAAAAACATATTACATGTACGTATATACATTTATTCTACAGCCGGTACAATCAATAAAAAACAAAATGCATGATATTACGAGAAGACAAATTGTTTTTATTTATTATGTTAAGTAAAGTAAGTACACGTGAATATATAAGATAAATACAAGCTAGCTATAAATATTTAATGTCATATACAGCAATCTTTTTTTTTTTTTTTTGTACGAATACTTTGTCTGCTTTAATACACTTTTTCGTGTATAACAAATACCAATACTAAAGTTTTAAGCGTTAAACAAAGCACAGAACGATAAATTGATATAGACAAAGCAATGTTTAAAGTATTTTTGTGCAGTACGAAGGTAATTCAAAAAGTTCATAGACTTTTGTCTTTACTTTTTTATTTAACGTCATATAATATCCAAATTTGGTACAAATTTTTTAACAATAAAGTCGAATAATTTCAGTAAAAAATTGAAATAATTAAAAATTCATCAAAAATTTATAACACCGAAAATGGGGTCACGGAGCAACGTCAAAATTGCGTAATTAACTAATTTCTATTTTATAGAATCTATAGTCATAAAATAGATGAGCTGAAACGAAATAAAATTTACATTTATAAATAAAGTCTTCCTGTACGAGGGCCGTTAGAAAATTACGCGGACTGTGCTATTATTTACCCTTATAGACGCCTTATAGTTATGAAATTTTGCAGAAATATGTATCTTAAAGATACCAATAAATTTTGGGTAAAATATCTGTATTTGTAAAAAAATCTGCTAAAATTATCGGTATGTTGATATCGCTGATGGAGAGGTAAGGAGCACGACAGAAAATTTGAAGCAAAAGCATGCGAAATACAAAATTTAACTCATCTATTTTCTATTATTCGCGATATTTTTCGACAATTTTCTCAAATGTATCTTTGAATTGTTCTATCATTATATATTTTGATGTTTTGCGTGATATTTGAAGTACTAATCGAAATATAGTGATTTTTCTCTGATGCGATTACCGTGAAAACGACTGTGAAAATGGCGTCTCTGGAATTGACGGCACACAAAATTTTGTTAAATTATGTGTAATGCTCGAGATATCGCCAACATAGATCCAAAATATGCATAATAAAACATATAGTAACACAGGGTATTCGTGACATTCGTCCACAAATAGCACATGGAAATTTTAGACCGTTAAATCTCTGTATAAAAGCTATACTGGAAGACGGGATGAAGATTATCGACGAAAACTTTATCCGGACTGTAAAGAACGTGATTGAGGCTCACTTATATCACACTATATCTGTTAAAAACATGCAGTTTTTGGTTTTAAAACAAAAAAAACCAATATTCTTTACTTGTTTAATAGATTTTAAGCTTGACAAGAAATGTTGTTTAGATGCTGAGTAGATAAGGTAACTCAAACTGTACAGGTACTCTTTAGAAAATATTAAGAAAATGAAAACTCAATCACATATTTTCTTTTATAATGCCTGTGACGTCGAAGATTTTGCTGCTCCGTGACTTAATGATATGTCCTAAAAAATCCCTCAAAATTGATACCAATTTACAACATCTTGATATGAAATTTTAAGACCATATAAATAAAGATTCTTTAATATTGTTGAAGAACTAATAATGTTAAGCGGTAAACAATTTGAAAACACTAACAATCAAGTTCAAGCTATTTGCATAATTGTTAGCAACCTAGGTATCTAGTGTTATTAATACATTTTTATGAATGGAAAAGAAGGAACATACCGTCTTTAAAATTAAAAAAACATCAAGTAATTTTGAGAAACTTTCTCGACGTTGTTTTTGACGTTACAATGTTTTTAACTATGCTCCGTGGTAAAAAAAAAAAACATGTTGCATTAAACATTGGCTAACATGGGATCTTTTTAATCAAATATAATTGAACTTCACACTTCAACAAAAGAAATGTTTTTAGTAACGAAAATGTGTTGATCTGTGGTCTTGTAGTAATTATTGGACGATGAGAAACATTGTCTTCATATTTTTTGAATGACCTTAGTATATATATTTTAAATTTCGTTAAGAACTTTTATTTTGTATATCAGTATAAAAGGAAACAGAATGATTACCGGCCGCCATGACGGTCGGTTGTTGTAAGTCGCTGTGGAGTTAAAACAATTTATATAAAAATATTTAACATGAATATGATAGTATATTAAAAAGAGAGTCTAAAATGTTTAACAAAAACACACAATGACCATAGAATTATTTTTTTTTATATAAAGAATGGGGTAAATATTTCATCAAACCCTGAATGACAAACTTTGAAATATTTTAGGTGCGGAGAAAATTAAGACACGTCTTGGGCATTATCTAAAGAAAGACCGCTTTATGTTTATTACACAATATTACTTTTTTCCATTTAAGGGGGCCGACTATAGTTTCTATTGCGCAATATTTCACGCATCATAGTTAAATGAAGCGTATTTACTGATTTAATGCAACTTTTTTC